CAGGGCCCATGCCCTGTTTGTGGATGTGCAAGAGGCAGCCAATCAATGGTTCTCTCTCATCGATGTTTCTCTCCCTCTCTCCTTTTCCCTTCCTCTCTCTGAAATAAATAAAAACATTTTTAAAAAAAAGAAAAAGAAAAAGGGGAACAAAGGTGAGATTTTTCAGTAACTGCTCATTGAAAACAATGTAAGCGGGAAGAAAATGGAATGGCGTCTGAAAGTTACTGAGAACATTTATTTTGTTCCTTGTAGGTTTACTAGCTTTATCACTGACAAGGTCTAAAGACAGTGACAAGCCAGGGACAGGGAGTTCCCTGGAGCCCTGATTGTGGTCTCTACGCCCTCTTCCCAGGAAAGGGCACCTGGAGTCCTGGGAAGAGCAGTGGAGTTCAAGTGGGGGGCAGGACCTATTCAAGATGAGACCAGGCAAGGAAACCAGTAAGGTCTAATGGATATGACAGAAGAGCACAGGGGCCTCTTCACAGGCTCCCACTGGGCAAAGATAGGATAATTTTATCAACAAAAAGATTATTGCAGTGGATTGAAGTGCATCCGATACATGCAAATCCATGCATTCATATGATATTAAAAAACAAAAGTCCTTGGTAACAATTGGAGTTTGGTAGGGTACTGACTAGCTCATTGTTCTGAATTGTGTTAAGTAATAAATATCAACCATTTGTTTTACCTTCCCTGAATGAACAGTATTTCAAGATAAACAAATAGAGGAAAGTTGTTCCGTAAATGCAGAAAAATCGACATTTTACAACCCCCAATAAAATAATGAATCTAAGAGGAAGCAAAATGGCAGCATAGGTAAACACCTGAACTTGCTGCCAAGCACAACTACATTAAAACTACAACAAAAAGACAAAACGAATATCATCCAGAATCACGGGAAGGCTGGCTGAGTGGAAATTCTACAACTAGAAGGAAAGAGAAAAGCGCATTGAGTCCGGTAGGAGGTGCAGAGGTGTGGAAGTGTGGAGGTATGGAGGAGCACGTAACGGGCTGGCAGCTGGGTACGCTAGTGTCTTTTTCAATTGGGAGGGAGAAACAAGCTTCCGACTGCTCTGAACTCCAGTTCCAAGCGAGAATCTGGGGACCCAGACTCATACAGAGAGAAACTGTACTGTCTGGCATTGGGCCGGAATGTGAGGGTGGCTTTCTCGCAGAGCTGCTTGCAGCAGTCATTGTTACTGCATGGCCTGCGGAACACAGACCCCGGGACCTCTCCGAGGCAGAGCAGACTGGCAGCCATTGAGGTTTGCTCTGCCCTGATGATTCCCTGAGACCCCGTGTCACCCAATTTACAACCACAACCAAGCTGTGCACAGCAGCTTTTGCACACGAATGGCTTGGCCTTCCTCTGCCTAAAAACCTGTCAAACTATAGCTGGGTCAGAGAACCCCAGAGCTTCCAAAAGAAGGCCTAAGGCTGGTCAGCCGCCTGCATTACTTCACAGCTGCACCTCATATGGGGACCTCCAAACCCCAAACAAAGAGGAGGAATCTGCAGATTTCTCTGTAGCTCCTGCTGGGTGGCCTCAGGCAGTGGCTGACTTTGCACCTCCTTGGAGATCCAAGAGCCAGTGTACCCAGTGGTCAGAGTAGGACCATCCAGATTACAACTCTTCACATCCATAAGAGACACACTCAGAGGGCAGACTTAGTGAGCGCCAAAGCCCCACTGAAGCAAGTCCTGCCCCATAAAGATGTCTCCAGCACAGAAGTTTTCCCATTGTAGACACAGCTTGTCCTCACAGCCAGTTGGCCTGGAGGTCAATTCCTTCCAGTGATACCAACAGCAATCAAGACTTAACCACAACAAGACTTTGCACACAGCCCACAAAGGGGTGCACCAAGAGTGTCCACCTCAGGTAATTGGGGAGGCTGAGCCACTGGGCCCTATAGCACACCTAGCACACAAGGCCACTCTATCAACATAGGAAGCAGCCAAAATGTGGAGACAAAGAAACAGGTCACAAATGAAAGAAATGGAGGAAAGCAAACTACTGGATATAGAGTTCAAAACTACAGTTACAAGGTTACTCAAGAATATTCTAGAAACCTCCAAGAAATATAGTGAGACCCTCCAGGATATGAAAAAGGACCAATCAGAAATTAAGCATACACTGACTGAAATAAAGAACAATATACAGAGATCCAACAGCAAACTAGAGGATCCCAAGAATCAAGTCAAAGATTTGAAATACGAAGAAGCAAAAAACACCCAACTGGAAAAGCAAAAGGAAAAAAGAATCCAAAAATATGAAGATAGTGCAAGGAGCCTCTGGGACAACTTCAAGCATACCATCATCCAAATTAGGGGGTGCCAGAAGAAGAGAGAGCAAGATATTGAAAACCTATTTGAAGAAATAATGACAGAAAACTTCCCCTACCTGGTGAAAGAAATAACTTACAAGTCCAAGAAGCGCAGAGAACCCCAAACAAAAGGAATCCAAAGAGGACCACACCAAGACACATCATAATTAAAATACCAAGGGCGAAAGACAGAGAGAATCTTAAAAGCAGCAAGAGAAAAACTGTTAGTTACCTACAAGGGAGTACCCATAGGACTGTCAGCGGATTTCTCAACAGAAACTTTGCAGGCCAGAAGGGAGTGGCAAGAAATATTCAAAGTGATGAATAGCAAGAACCTACAACCAAGATTACTCTACCCAGCAAAGCTATCATTTAGAATTGAAGGTCAGATAAAGAGCTTCACAGATAAGAAAAAGCTAAAGGACTTCACCGCCAAACCAGTATTATATGAAATGCTGAAGGGTATTCTTTAAGAAAAGAAAGAAGCCGAAACCGGTTTGGCTCAGTGGATAGAGCGTCGGCCTGCGGACTGAGAGGTCCTGGGTTCGATTCCGGTCAAGGGCATGTACCTGGGTTGCGGGCACATCCCCGGTGGGGGATGTGCAAGAGGCAGCTGATCGATGTTTCTCTCTCATCGATGTTTCTAACTCTCTCTATCTCTCTCCCATCCTCTCTGTGAAAAATCAATAAAATATATTTAAAAAAAAAAAAAAAAAAAAGAAAAGAAAGAAGAAAAAGGTAAAGATAAAAATTATGAACAACAAAGTGACAACAAATACATATTTATCAACAAGTGAATCTAAAAATCAAGGGAGTAAAAAATCTGCTGAACAGAATAAACTGGTGAATATAATAGAATCAGGGGCATAGAAAGGGAGTGGACTGACAATTCTCGGGGGAAAAGGGGTATGGGGGGTACGGGAAGAGACTGGACAAAAATCTTACACCTATGGACGAGGACAATGGGGGGTGGGTAAGGGCAGGGGGTGGGGTGGGAACCGGGTGGAAGGGAGCTATGGGGGGGAAAAGAGGAACAACTGTAATAATCCGAACAATAAAGATTTATTTTAAAAAATAATGAATCTAGTCAAGAACATCAGTAAATGCTAAAACCATTAGGTGAAAAGTTGATGGGGGACTTTATAATGGAAAGATACAACCAATAACATCTGAACCCACTGATCAGTATTTATAATCCATTATGTGCCTCCTATTTGATTTATAGGTACACTGTATTACCTATGATGGATTCTAGCCCCTTTTCAAAGAACAATACAAAAGCAAAAACTTTAATCAAGCATTTAGATCTAATCAATGGGTATAAAGAAACAAATTAAATGGCACCCAGGAAACAATCAGTTAAATCCAGAAGAGAGGGTATGTTATAAGATAACCTGTTTTTCTCACAAATAAATGATATGACAGAAAGGAAAATGCTTAAAACAGAAACCAACCAAATGCAAGATTTGTAGACCTTGTTTGGATATTGATTTTAACTGTAAGAGGATTTTTTTTTAAGACTGAGGAAGTTGCCCTAACTGGTTCGGCTCAGTGGATAGAGCATCGGCCTACGGACTGACGGGTCCCAGGTTCGATTCCGGTCAAGGGCATGTACCTTGGTTGTGGGCACATCCCCAGTAGGGAGTGTGCAGAAGGCAGCTGATAGATGTTTCTCTCCCATCGATGTTTCTGATTCTCTATCCCTCTCCCTTCCTCTCTGTAAAAAATAAAATATTAAAAAAAAAGACTGAGGAAGTTTTCAGATGGACTGAGTTATTACAACATTTTTTGTTAATTTTTCAGGTGTGATAATGGCATTGAGGTTATGTAAATTACTTCCAAGCAAAATAATAAATTGTCTGGGATTTGCTATAACCATTTCTTCCTGCAAAAAAATATGGGAAGAAAAAATAGATCAAATAAATAGGAAAGTGTTGATTTTTGTTGAAGTTTGGTGATGGGTACATGAAATGTAGTCATTAGACTACTCTCTCTGTTTTACACATATTTTAACATTTCCATAATAAAAATGTGGTGGTTTTTTTTTAAAAAAAAGATAGTATGCTCAAAGACCTTGCGTGTATCTATAAGGGCCTCACTTAGTATGTATAGTGTTGTCTTACAATGAGATACAATTCTAACAAGTTGGCTTAAGTACCAGTTGTATGGGAGAAAACAGAATGATGCTAAAGACAGTATCCTTATAGAAATAAAAAGGTTTAACTGCTATCGTTAGATAATATTGAAAACTCTTACGTGCAGACAAAAGCTATCAAGGCATTAGGGGGCCACTTGGTGGTGTTAAGTAGACCCACTCTGCCTGTTTTCCTGCCAGCGGGCCTTCCCCTCAAGGTGTACCCGCCCGTGCCCAGCACCTGGGCAAGACGGGGCCCAAGGCGCCTTGGAGACGAGACCCTCCTTGGTTTCTTTTCTCAAGGGCTGTAGTGTCCATTGGCCAAAGCTATCTCCTGAGGGACTGCTTTTGTTCAAGGATCCGTGAGAGGTATTCCCAAGTTCTAACACCATATTCCACTATGCATTGCAACTTTTTTTTATTTTCCTTATCGTGATTTATTATTTTTCTATATTTCTTTGAAATTTGCCCATTTTAATTCATGTTCATTTCTCGCTCTGTGTGTGTGTCACGCTTGCTGTCTTTGCCTCCGTTGTTCCTAGGTTACAGTACAGCCAGGACATACCCAGCCACTTGGCCGATGAGCACGCGCTGATAGCCGCCTATGTGGCCCGTCTTCAGCACTGTGCACGGTCAGTGGGAGGGCAGCAGCAGGCGGGCATCCAAGGGCTGAGCAAAGGGAGGGAGAGCTGTGGGGCCTGGGGTTGTCAGCTAGAAGAAGCTCTGCATGTGGGGTTTTTCTTGAGGAGCTACCAGCAATGTTGGGCAGAGTTTAGGTAATTCCCAAAGCATTCTTGGAAAGAAGGAGTCTTGCCACGCCTAGGTACCTACCTAATCATAGAGTCAGAAATACTCCTTGAAAGTGAAACTCACTTCCTTCAGATTATATTATTCTTAAAGAGTGTATACTCAGAGATATGCAGTCCCAAAGATGTACACTCACAGAGGTATTTGATGCAACCTCTTACTGTTCATTCTTGCCTAAACAATGGAATCTTTCTGTTGATATTCAAAGCTTACGGTTGATCAACCCACAGATATCTCACTTTGTCTAATCTTTCATACCATCACCCTGTTACAACTTTACATGTTACATCTTCATCTCTTCCCCAAGATCTATCATTGTTGATTATTTAAACCAGGGGTTTTCAACAGTGGTACTAGATCATTGACACCTAAGGGACTTTTTTCAAATGATAATACACCTCCTCATATTATAATAATTATTTATACTGTAGTAGCCCCACATACCCCTTTCCCTGAAAACCACTCTGGTAGTGACCCCTTGTTAATATGGAAATAGGACTGATCCCTCTGTGGGTTAGGATGGAAAAACGTTTGATAGCCACTAACTACAGCAGAGTTCACCATTTGAAAGAATTAACACCAAACTAGGTGCTATTACATTCAGGCAGACCCAGAGCTACCTGCCCGATCCATGCCCATACCCACCACCACTCTGCAAGGAGAATGCAGGAAAAGTTTAAATAATCTAAAGCCATCCCAGCCACTCAACATGCAGCAAAGAAGAGTCGCTGTGCCAGACAACTCAAGCTTCTTATTCTTAGAGAAAATAAAACCCATAATCTATAAACTAAGCACATAAGAGAGGCTGGACCTTACCCTTTGATCTTAGCTTTGCCTGTAGCATGCCATGGTCCCAGGGGCAGGTCATTTTTATTTCCATGATAACAGAAACATAAATTAATAGTGAGAAAAATAATTTAAAAGGACTCTTTTTAATATTATATTATTATGCTTTATACCATTATACTTTATACCATTCCTCATAGTTTTCTCCATATGACTAAATGTCATTGCTGTTTTTAGGCATTTACCTGTCTCTAAAGCCTTAAAGAGACTGTAGGGTTCCCCTGCTTACCACGTATGTGTGATAGGCTTATCCTAGGGGAGAGAAGGAAGGCCTGGCCTTTGAGCATCGTATCACAGAGTCCTCTCATCCAGCAGATGACTCCTGTGCACTCTGCCCCAGCCCCAGGGTCTGTAGGAATCGAGTTGTCTCACCCATGGCAGGATAGCTCACTGAAACCCAGTCAGGGCAGTTGTCCAGGTGATTAAAAGTTTCCATGGTGAAAGTAGCAACAGCATGTTGGACAGCAACTGCCACCTGATATTTCAGCCCAAGAAGTTTTATGGTAGGTTTAGTCAAAGTCCTCAAGTCTTTGGCTTAGCAATAAGGCTCCCTGCTCAAGAACTGGTGGCCGGAACTCTGGGAGAACATGAAGATTGGGTGAGTATTACATCTCGTCTTGATTTACAGTATGAGGAACTGAGCTTCCTACTTCCACGAAGAAATAAGAAATTTCCTGGCTAATTCTGAAAATGAAAGTCAGTTCAAGCAGAAGAATAGGGAATCTTTCTAATTTTTCTTGACCTTAAAGCCTCTCATCAACACAACGTTCTAGTTTCTGGTTGGAAAACAAAGCCAATGAAAGCAACCATGTTGTCTGCACTTGGAGATAAATGACTAAGCGGATTAGCCTTCCCTGGGAGATGGACTGGAATGGAGAAGGAGCTCTTGCACAGAGGAGCCTATTGTGTCCTCTGCCAGACTTCGTAGGCTGCCAGTCCCTCCATAATATTATCTGCTTTGTTGTTAAGTGTTCATTTCTATTGTGTTTTTTTTTAAAGATAAAGATAGTTCTCTTTTTTTCAGACAAACACCTTTAAGACACAAATATATTTCAGCCCAGACCTTGCAGCCTTGACTGTGACCTATTAAAGTTAACTGGTGGTAGCATGCTCTTATTATAAGATCATCTTTTGAGAGGATGATTACATGTGCTGGAAACTGACATTTGCACACCTAAAATTATAAAGTGTTCAGAAGTGTCATAGGCAGAAGACTTTAAAGCACATTTTTAAAATATTCATCCTAGAGGAAAGACTAAACTTAAAGAATTAGCCACAGAGATAGAAATATCGAAAGGTGGAAAAAAATCCAGGAAAAATACAGCTGATTGTGTACGTGAAAAGGCCAGATGGATCCTTGTTAATTTATTTTCACCCTTCCCAGATTCCCCTCAGTAACTATAGCAAGATTTGATGAGTATTAAACTCATGTCTTTACATTTTTTTCATATTACTTGTCATATTGCTTAATTCCAGTCAAGGGCTTTCAGAACTCCAAGAACCTAGGACCAAAGTAAAAGCAAGCCACAACAGCCATCTCTGGTCAGTCATCATCATCTCTGTTACCTTAAAGGTTCTGCCAGACTTAAAGAGAATTCTATAGCCACAGTCCTTATTAATCTAGGAGTGCCCTGATAGGAACAAAGGACAGCTGATGTCACATACTGAGTAATGGAGGCAGTTATTTCATCTAAAGTTCATTGCATCACATAGAGCTGGCATACTACACAAGAACCCTTTTTCTCATCCAGGTGTGGCATTACCTGATATCCCACCTACGTGGGTCTTTAAATTTTTAGAGTGCTGGAACTCTTGTTAAAGGGTAATGGAACTAAATTACTTCACTCTAAGATGGGGCTATATTTGTAGAACAAGCATGGTAAAAAGAAGAGAGAGAGGCATTGAAAGAAAATGTTTGATACCATGTGATCACCAAATTTACTGTAAACTGGGCCTGCCCAAGCCTGGATGGCTCAGCCAAGATTAGTTTTAATTTTTCTCAGCCCTGTTTTTTCATGATGCTTGGTCTTTTTGAATTCAAGACCTATGTCCAAAAGTCACGAGTTTTTAAAAACATTTGATTAGAAATTGCTCTCAGACTGGAAGTGCCCGGTCTTTTCTCAGTCCTCCTGGTGGTGTCAGAGGGTTGGGACGTGCTGCTGAAGAGAAATGACACGCGTGGCCTGTTTCTCTACGCCCCCTTTGTGTCAGAAGACCAGTGGTATCTATGGCCCAGGCCTCTGTTTCTGTTGTTACCATTCTTTTTTTTCACAAGCTTATTTCCCGTCTGTCTTTCTAAGAGGAGCAAGAGTAGGGGATGTTTGCTAGACACGTGTTGAATGTTTGTCTCCTTGGCAGCGTCCTGGACAGTCCTAGCCGACTGGACGAGGAGCACCGGCTTATCGCTCGCTATGCTGCACGGCTGGCTGCAGAGGCAGGGAACATGGTGAGTAATCAGAGGGTTCCCATAGATAGCAAAAGTTAGCATGTCTTTAATATACAAGTGGTGGGGGAACCGTAAGCATGAAACTCAGGAGAGCAAGAACCTCAGGGACAGGAGAGGAATGGGTTTAGAGAGGGCATTACAGTGGCTTTAATTTTATCTATAATATTCCATTTCTTTAAAAAATGAATTGAGAACAGAAAAAGTGTCAATTTGGTTCTTAAAAAGATCAATAAATTTAATAAATCCCTAGAAATCCTGATCAAGAAAAGAAGAAGGAAAACACAAATTGCCAGTATCACAAATGTAAAAGAGACATCACAACAGATCCTACAGCCATTATAAGGCTGCTAAAGGAATATTCTGAGCAATTTTTTGTCAATGAATTTGATAGCCTAAATAGACAAAATCCTTGAAAGATAAACCAACAAAACTGACATAAAAATAAATAGAAAATCTAAATAGTCTTAAACCTGTTAAAGAAATTGTATTGATAACTGACTTCACACAAGGAAAACTTCAAGCTCTGTTAAATATTACCATATTTTTAAAGAAGAAAGTCTAGCAATCTGACATAAAGCTGGAATACTACACAAGAACCCTATTTTCTAGTAGAAAATAGAGGAAGAAGGAACACTTCCAAGTCATTTCATCAGGCCCCTATAAACTGATGCCAAAAGAATACAAGGCAATCAAATGAAAAGAAAATTGATCACAAATTCCCTTACGAACATGGATGAAAAAAAACCTTAACAAAATATTAGCAAATTGAATCCAGCAATATGCAAACACAATAATACTCCATGATCAAGTGAGATTTGTTTTAGGAATACAAATATATTAATACATAAAATCAACCATATTAGCAGTTTAAAGAAGAAAATTATAAGATCATTTCAATAGATGCAGAAAAAGCATGTGACAAAATATAATACCCATTTATGATAGTAAAACTTCTCAATACACAAGGAGTAGAAGAAACTTTCTCAATCTGGTAAAGAATACCTACAAAAAACATATAACTAATATTATACAAAGATTAAATTTTGGAATACTTCCCCTACCTAATATTCAGAACAAGACAAAGATGACCCCTTTCACCACCCCTATTCAAAGTTGTACCAGAGGTCCTAGCCAGTGCAACATCGCAAGAAGAAAGGGGCAGAAATATTGGAAAGGAAGAAGTAAAACTGTTGTTATTTGCAGATGACATGACTATATAGAAAGTTGTAAGGAATCTACAAAAACACTACTAGAACAAATTTGTGACTTCATAGCAATGTTGCAAGATATACAAAGTCAGTATAAAATTTTTGATTAGTTCTATCTACCTGCAGTGAACATTTAGACAATTAGATTCAGGAAAAAATATCATTTACTATAACATTAAAAAACATCAAACACAAGCAGGGAGTGAGATGAAAGGAGGATGATCTGAAGCCAAAATGACAGGCTGTGTAAGCATTGTCCATGTAAAGGAAATGTAATGTGTGCCCACTGGGTGTTTCAACATGTGTAAAGGCCCTGAGGTTGGAGACTTCACAGAGAGCAACACTGGAGTGACATTAGGCTGGGCAGGCAGGCTAATCAGGACCGTATTCTGCAAACAGTATATTAATTACAGAAATGTGTACCAGTTTATATTTACATTTCATAGGAAGGTAGAGTTATGAAAGCTGCCAGTAGAGAGTCTTGCTTTGTTTCTCCCTCTCAAAAAGTAACTTATTCCTTTGGGTTTGTTTAGAATTCAAAATCTTTTCTTTGAAAATCTGATATTAGGTCATGCCTCAGACTGTAACATTACAGCTCTAAAGGTTAGTGAAATAGAACGGAATAGGGAAAAAACATCTGGGGAAAAAGCATAGTTCCATTTCATCAGTTAAACCTCACGCGTACCCTCAGTCAGTCACAACTGTTCAAGCTATTTTAGCAATTAAAATTTATACGTAAAATCAGTTGAATTTGTTGAGAGGGACAGCGTTGTGGTTGAATTTTTAAAATTAAGTATACTTAATGCCGTTATATAGTCTTGTTGACTTTACAATAGTATTTTTTTTTTAATGCTGTAAATTAAAGCTCCGAAGCCATTTGACCCTCAAAAGGAGATTGCAGTTCTCCTGCATGGCAAACAAGATAAGTCTGTTTACACCTGATAGTTTCTGATACCAATTCTTATTCGTGTGAAAATGAGAATTGTTAGAATGGGCTTGAGACTAAATACCGATATGGTCCCTTTCATCTTCAGTTTATTTTTCAAAGTGTAGCTGTCTTATAAATATTGGACTCTCAGCAAGGATTCTTCTTGACTAGACTTCTGTTAAACAGACTTCTAATCTGCTAATCTCTCCCTGATACAGGTGCTTTGCATAAAGTGGGTGTAGCGCTCAGAAGAATTTATTTATAGCCTGCCAGATAGGCTTTGTATTGACTCCCCCCCCCCCCCAAAACCTTCTTCTACAAAGAAAGACCATTAAATCATGTTAGCATTACACCCTGGGGAGTGCCTCAGCATCGAGCCCTCATGTCTCCCCGGGTGGCACACCTGGCCACTGACGCCTCTTCACACTCGCCCTGGAATAAAGAAATTCTAGCTCCCTCAGACGAGCCAGGAGAACTGATTTGTTTTTCTGAAGTGCCTAAGTGCCTTTAAAAAACAAAACTACAGTGTGTGGTAAATCATAATAATAACTGCAAATTCTTAAAGTTGTATCACAAATGCCACCAGCATTAGATATAATGAGATGTTTGGGGTTTGCTTTTAAAGTCGTTTTTCTTTATGAAAAAAGTAAAAACTCATAAAGGAAAAGTTGGGAGAAAGGTAAAAGGAAGGGGAAATAGTGTGGTTTCATTCCACCGAACTTGTGCACCGTTTTGAGAAGCTTTTTTTCAGGAGCCCCATCCTGGCCCTCACAGCCTCCTCATGTGTCAGCATGCCCCATGCCAGAGGTCTCCCGGTGGCTTCTTAGAGTTAAAGATCCATGGTATCCAGGTGGTGTTTTGCACACATTTAATGACTCAAAATGCCCCATAAAATAATAATTGTCAAACCTGGCTACATATTATAATCGTGTAAATCGTTTAAAGAATATATAGATCCTTGACTTTGCCACAGACCTACTGAATCAGAATCTCTGGGTTTGGGGGATCTCTTGATTTTTATGTTAAAAAAAAAATTTCCATCTTCTTATTCACAACTAGCTTTGTAACCACTACCCTAAAAAGCATTATTGGGTTTTTGAGAGACAAGAGAGAGATTAATAATCCACGTCCCTGCAGTTAGTCTAAGTGGGGTGGGGACGATGGCAGGACTTCCCCTGGGATACAAGGAAGTCCAGTTAATCTCCGGCACATCTCTTTGGAACTCACCCAGGCCAGTCTATTTTAGGAGCTGCGGGCATGCATGTTACCAGATTGCAGTTTGCTGGCTGTCGGCTCTCCTTGGTTGTATAACATTTGTCCAGTTTTACTCACAGGGGTCTTGTTTCTTATCCTGTATCTTCCAGAGGCATCTCCATCTCAATAAAGATGATGGAGCTCTGTGAGATGACCTAAACCCAAGAGAATGCTAACGTAACAGAGGAAGCGATCCTCTTCGCTGTCTTTCTGTAAATATTCCCACTTTACAGGCAGGAAGATAAAGGTATAGTAAAACAAAATAACTCGAGGTTTGCATGCAAGTAAGTAGCAAAACCTAGGATTCCTAACTAGTGTGCCTACTTCCATTCTTACCCACTTCAGTCAGTTCTCCGCTTGGTAGCCAGAGCAGTGTGGTTGGTAATAAACTTTTATGATAGAACAGTTTTAAATTTACAGAAAAATTATGAAGCTAGTACTGAGGATTTCCATATCGCCTATACTCAGTTTCCCCCATTAGTAACATCTTCCATTAGTATGGAATGCTGGTTGTAATTACTGAGCCAGTAGTGACACATTATTATTAACTAAAGGCCATACGTTTTTAGGTCCTGTTAGTTTTTTACCTAATGCCTTTTTCTGTTCCGGGATCTCATCCAGGACACCACTTTGTGTTTAGTTGTCATACCTCCTTGGTTCCTCTGGGCTGCGACAGTTTCTCTGGCTGCCCTTGTGTTCTGATGACCTTGACGGTTTTGAGGAGTTCTAGTCAAGTATTGTAGAAGGTCCCTTCGTTGGGATTAGCCTGAAGTCTTTCTCCTGATTAGACTGGGGCTGTAGGTTTTGAGGAAGAAGGTAAGTGCCCTTTTCTAACATCAGATCAAGGGTTCGTAGCATTAAAATTATTTATCACTGTCGCTGTTGACCTTGCTCACCTGGCTGGGGAAGTGTTCGTCAGCGTTTTCCAGCATAAAGTTTCTCTTTCTCCCCTTCCCACCTGTCCTCTCTGAAAGGAAGTCACTGTGGACAGACCACACAGGCGTTAGGCTCACCTCCTTGAGCGTAGAGTATGTTCATGCATTATTTGGAATTGATATATTTTTCTGTTGAGAATCCTATGGTGGATTCAGAAAACCACGAGGGAGCAGCAGCAAGCCTCCGCCTTCGCCCTTTCTGCCCAGCTGGCTCGTCCCCCTGACCTTCCCCTGGTCCCCCTGACCTTCCCCTGGTCCCCCTGACCTTCCCCTGGTCCCCCTGACCTTCCCCTGGTCCCCCTGACCTTCCCCTGGTTCCCCTGATCTTCCCCTGGTCCCCCTGATCTTCCCCTGGTCCCCCTGACCTTCCTCTGGTCCCCCTGACCTTCCCCTGGTCCCTCTAACCTTCCCCTGGTTCGATTCCCCATCTCATTGAGTCTGAGAGCAGTTTCACAACCACCTCATTTCAGAAGAGTCTGTCTCAGCTCACTGTTTCATTACCCTGTGTTTCTTTATCGCATTTACCACAACGGGTCATACATATTTGGTTTGTTTCTTTTTTTATCCCCGAATGCATCCCTGGTTTTTAGAACAGTATCTAGCACATAGTGAATGCTCAGGATATATTTGTTGAATAAAAGAATGAAGTATTTAATATTTGAAGGAAATCATCTTTAGATCTCTTCTTGCCAAAGTAGTCTGTGTCTTTATGATCTAATAATTCCTTTTCTGGCTTTTTCTCTTCACTGTCCTGGAGGCATTTTAGGAAAAAGGATAACCTGGCTTTTAAAATTTTTTTATTTTATTTTTAAAAATATTTTTATTGTTGATAGTATTACAGATATCTCCCATTTCCCCTCCCCTTTTATTTTTTAAAGGAGCAGCATGGTGTTTAAGATAGTAAATAAATACAATTCTTAGTTTATCTGTTATTTAATGCACTTGACTGTGTATAAAATCTGACCGGGTAAAATAAGCCAGCAGTGGACACTCACCACCAGGGCTCTCCTTGTTGTGTCTCCATGCACGTCGCCCCAGGTGGGACCACTGCCTCGGGATTTGAGTCTTCCTCCAGCCACCCCCCCCCCCCCCGCCCGCCCCCAGCTCCCTGTGTCTTTGTATTTGAGTAACACTTGGTGCCAAAGATTCCTGCCTGTTAGGAGTCACTATTGATGGTAACGCTTGATTTCTGTATTAACCTCTTCAGACACTCAAAACTGAAAAGATCCTTCAGAAGTTTCCAGTGAAATACTGTGGGGTTTTTGTATGTTTTTTTCCCATCAGATGAAGCAAATTCCTTTCAGAGATCATTCCTCATCCATCATTCTCCCTGGCCCCACTCTAATAAGGAGCCATTCGTTGTAACTCCAGTTTTCAGAAATTGTAAACCTGTTATTCATAGCAGGTTTGGTCTCAGGCAAGCCCTTTTTCCCAGGTTCAACTCAGGCTCTCACAAGACTCTTCATAAAATATAGAGAATTTGCTGAATTGGCTGCTGGTTCACTCTTCTCTGGAGGAAGAAAAATCACCTTGTTTTTCTCTAAGAAGAAAAATATTTGGTAGTTTGGTTAAAAAGCCTCCCACCCAGGTTTGCTATGCTGCTTTGCCCTGTTTATTTAGGAAGTGCCACATGAAAAGATTTACTTATTGTGCTCACTGTATCTTCAAGCTTTAGAGGAAACCAGGCTTCTGCTTCATCGCAGGTCATGCTGGGGCAGAACTTAAGAATGTGCAGAGTGGAGCACAGCCATCGAAGTGCCTTCATGAGAGCTTTCCTTCTGGTTAATCAATACAAGGAAAGCATCACCTATTCATCCGTTTTCCTAGTTTGTGTTGATTCGCTTCCATATTCTTAAAGGGGGTCACAGGGCTAGGAACATCGGTGGACTTGGCAAATCAAAACCACAATGATTTCTCGAAAGATAATATGTAAGTGGCCGATAAAACGTAAAAGTACGCTCAACATATCAGTCACTAGGAAGGTGTAAATTGAATCCACAATGAGAGAGCATTTCGCACCCACTAGGATGTGATCAAAGAGAAGGGCAAGCCCCTGCTGGTTTGGCTCAGTGGGTAGGGCGTCGGCCTGCGGACTGAAGGGTCCCAGGGCACATTCCAGCCAAGGGCACATGCCCAGGTTACGGGCTCGAGCCCCAGGAGGGGGCATGCAGGAGGCAGATGATCCATGATGCTCTCTCATCATTGATGTTTTTGTCTCTCCCTCCCTTTCTCTCTGAAATCAATAAAAATATTTTTTTAAAAGGCAATAACAAGTGTTGACAAGGACATGGGGAAAAATGGAATCCTGTTATGTTGATAGTGGGAATGTAAAATAGTGCAGCCACTTAGGAAACCAGTTTGGCAATTTTTCAAATGGCATTTACTGTGTGACCCAGCAATTCCATTCCTAGAAATATACCCAAGAGAAATGAAAATATATCTCTACACAAAAACTTGTCCACAAATGATCATAGCAGCATTATTCAAATTAGCCAAAAAAAAAATGGAACAGCCCAAATATCTATCAACTGTGGAGTAAATGAGATGTGTTATATCCACATAATGGAATATTATTCGGCTGTAAAAACAAGAATGAAATACCCATACATGCTACAACGTGGATGAACCTTGAAAATATTTTGCTAAGTGAAAGAAGCCAGACATAAAAGACCACATATTATATAATTCCATTTGTATGAAATATTCAGAATAGGCTCGTCTGCAGAGACAGAAGCTAGATTCGTAGTTGTCAGGGTGGGGGAGGGGACTAAGGGGCGGGGCTGCTAATGAGTATGGGGTTTCCTTGTGGGGCGATGAAAATATCCTGGAATTAGTGATGATGGTTTAATAATCTCATACATATACTTGAAACCACTGAATTGCACACTTTCAAAGGGTAGATTTTATGGCATGTAAATTATATATCGATTTTTTAAACCCACAGTTAGATACTTCACACCCGCCAGGATGATTAAGACCGAAAAGACAATGACGGGTGTTGACAAGATGTTGAGAATCGAACCCTGATTCATTGTTGGTGGGCTTGTAAAATGGTGTAGCCACTTGGGAAAACAAGTTTTTTGACAGTTTTTCCAAATGTTAAATATAGAGTTAAACCATGTAACTCAGGAGTTCCACTTTTAGGTGCTGGCCCAAGAGAAATGAAAACATACATCAACACAAAGCCACTTCATTTAATAGCCCAAAGCTGAATCAGTGAAATACTACTCAGCAATAAAAAGGTTAGGGAACTCCTAATTCATGGAACAACGCGAATGGAACTCAGAAACATCGTGCTAAGTGGGAGCTAGGAACCGCCGACGACATGGTCTATGATTCCATGTGTATGAAGGTTCTAGGAAAAGCAAAGCTAGACGGCAGACCGATGGTTGTCTGCAGTGGCGATGGAAGTGAATGGCAAGTTGACCACAAACAAGGGAATTTTTTTTGTGGTGATGGAAAATGTTCCAAAACTGGACTATGGTGATTGGTTCCACAACTATTTAAGTTTACTAAGACTCATTGAATTCATTGTACACTTTAAATGGGTGGATTCTATGGTAGGTAATTTTTAACTCAAAAACCTGTTTTTAAAAAATTCAACAGTCTGTCTAGGTCTCTGGGTATATTTGAATCAGAAAAAACACACACACCAACAAACCTTTCTTTCTCCTCACTGTAGACCCGTCCTCCCACCGACTTGAGCTTTAACTTCGATGCCAACAAGCAACAAAGACAGCTTATTGCAGAACTGGAAAACAAGAACAGGTAAGAGAGCAGGGGCTGAGCCCGTTGCTGAAGTCCAAGATGGTCACGGGAGTATCTGATTCTCGTTTTCCTTGCAGACTAGATGGCTTTGGACCACAACGGAAGTCCCCACCTCAGGGACTATAGGCCAGCCCACGCCCAGTAAATTCCCTGGACACTACCTTGCGTATCTGCATGGTGTCCCTTGTGCTGGTCCAAAAGCCTGCTCGCCTGCCCTCGGAGATTCTTCCCAGCGCCTTCTCCATTCATAGCTGAGTCCCCGGGGGCTCATGGTTTCTTTCTTCACTCCCAGCAGCCTTGTACTCGATCCAGTCATCTTGTTTTGGCTGATTAGGCTGCATGTGACCATCTGGTCTTTTAAAGGCTTGGAGACTGGACAACACACCATTCATTATGCACTGAAAGGTAGAAACCAGGCCCAAGAGATTGGACGTAACATAACAGGCATCGGTAGAAGCAGCTGTCCATCTCTTGGGGGTCAGAGGAGGACTTGGGGGAGTTAGCACAGTCCTCTTGTCCTTTCCGTAGAGCAGTGGTCGGCAAACTCATTAGTCAACAGAGCCAAATATCAACAGTACTTCTTCAAAATAGACTCGCCGAGGCCGAAAACCGACTTCTGCGCATGGGCCACGAAGTTTCAATCGCACTGTACATGCGCCCGCACGTGGTATTTTGTGGAAGAGCCACACTCAAGGGGCCAAAGAGCCACATGTGGCTTGTGAGCCGCAGTTTGCCGACCACGGCCCTAGAGAGGGGCAGAATATTGTGGTCATTTTCCTTCTGTGGGGAGTTCTTCAAGCTCTTGAGTATTTTTATGGCTTTTTCTACCACAAAGCATTGTTTCCTTAAGTAAGTGTCAAGTGCCACAGAATTAGGAGGGTGACGTTTCACATCCTGGTCATTTGGAAGCCATCAGAGTGAGACTGGTGGAGGCTGCACCACTGGAGTGAAGCCTTTCCGCAGGAGAGGGGGCTGTGACGGCCTGTGTGGCATCTCCCTCTCTGCACCCCCTCTAGAGAGATCCTGCAGGAGATCCAGCGTCTCCGCCTGGAGCACGAGCAGGCCTCCCAGCCCACCCCTGAGAAGGCCCAGCAGAACCCCACGCTGCTGGCAGAGCTGCGGCTGCTGCGGTAAGTGGGGGTGCCGCGTCGGCGACAATCTGCCTGGGTGGGAGTTTATGTCCCAGGGGACCACATTAGTGAGGTAGGGCCCGTTTATCGGAACAGTTAGTCACGTTAGAGCAGACACCGCACAGTCCGCTCTTTCTGTGGCTGCTTCCGATGCTTGCACATGAAGGAGTGAACAACATTCGGCAGGGCTGGGATGGCTGTGAGTCCTAAATGTTTGGGGTCTGTTTAGGGAAAAGTAAATCACCCGGAGGTCCAGACCTAAGAGGGAAGAGGAGGAGGGGTGCTAGCGATGGACAGGATTGAAGGTGGGGTCTGGGGCTGGGCTCTCCATAAACTACATGACACACACGTGTAATTAAAACTTTTCTAACAGCCGCAGTGAGAAACTAAAAGGAAGTAGATGTCGTTCATTTTAATACTGTCTTTTACTTGACCTGATACAGCCAAAATATTATCATTTCCACATTTAATCGACGCTGAAAAAATAGTAATGAAATATTTTACTTTCTTTTGTCCACACTAAAAATTTGAATCGTGTGTGTGTGTGTGTGTGTGTGTGTGTGTGTGTGTGGCACTTCCAGTGCATCTCAGTGCAGACCAGCCATGTTTCAAGTGCTGAGTCGGCACTGTGGCTCCTGGCTGCCATATTGGAGAGCCAAGGTCTAGACTGTGCAGGGCAAGAGTCAGTGATGCTAGAAATTCTATTGAGCTGATGGCATCGGATGATGAAATGAATACAGCTTTCCTTTGAGCAGGATTGCAAACTTCACTAAACACCTTCATAGTCATTATCTTAATTGTTCCTCAAGATATTGATGTTACTGATTATCAGTCCCATTTTACAGAACAGAAAATGGAGGCTCAGACAGGTTAAGTGTCGTGATCAAGGCTGCATATTAGTAAGTGATGGGCCTCAGTCCTGCACTGCTTTTTCCTCACCATAGTAGATGAAATCGGGATTAGTCAGGCTGAGAGACGTGTGTGTGTGTGACGTAAGGAGCACTTGGAGAAAGTGGGAGAAGTGAGAATAGAAAGATGGACACAAAAATTTCCAGAAAAGAATTATCTGAATTGGGTGACTTAATAGAATATAGTATATAAACAGGAAAGTATGAAAGAGGACGGAGTTTTTCAGCTATGACAACTGGAATGGAAAAGTGAGAGACAAGGAAGTTGGGAAAGAGAACCAAGGAGGAGGAAAATCTTAAGTTTCATTTTGGACATACTGAGCTAGAGTTGACGTGAAGCTGTCCTCAGGGAGCAGAGTTCTCTTAGACACAGTCCTCCTGAGTCCGTCGCGCTTCTAGCACCTGCTGTCTGGTGCTGGCAGCCCCGACTACTGAACCTGTCTTCCCTGCGCAGTTTTTACACCTTTTCTCCACTATTCATTTAAACTTGGACTGGTTCTCTGTATTTCTCTAAAGGAGGTATTTGACTTCCTGATGAAGAATTTTTTCAATTACTTTAATAATTAAACTTTTCCTCTGCTTGGCCATGTATACTTTCCAGAGCACGTTTACCTGCTGTTCTCACAATGGTAAAGCGGGCAAAATAGATACATAATTCCTTTATACATAAGGCATCAGAGGTTAAATGAGTTGTTCGGCATCTCAGACACTCGTAAGTAGCAGAACCGGGTTCAAAAGTGATGCTACCTGGCCTTAGGCCCTTTCTCCTGAGTTCCGTTTCTGATGGGCCGTTCCTCTTGGCCAGGCAAAGGAAAGACGAGCTGGAGCAGCGGATGTCGGCTCTGCAGGAGAGCAGGCGGGAGCTGATGGTTCAGCTGGAGGGGCTCATGAAGCTACTGAAGGTAAGAGCCTGCTCTCGGGCTCCTCCCGCCCCCACCTGCCCTGTCCACCTCCCACCACAGTGCAGCTCGGCCTCCCCTGTGAGGTCGATGTCGAACAGGAGGAGGCGAGAGGCTTACATGCTGCGGCCTAGTCCCAGTTTCCAGGTTAACCCTCCATAACGGCAGTCGAATTCCGTGTAACAGTCACCTACGTCAGCGTAAAGCCCGACTGCGAAAGAAAAAGTTAGTAACCGGGGCCAGGGCGATGTCCTGGAATAGTTGCTTTTATGAATGTTCACAAATGGCAGATTGGCTGTGGAGAAGTGAATATTCCCCAACTGTTTGAAGTTTCTTTTAAGACAAATATTCAGATATTCCTCCTACAAATAGTAGGTGTCCCTTTTTAGTGAGTGTTGCAGAAGCACACCAATCTTATCGAACCAACTCTAATCAATCACTGTATTGGGAGGAATAAAGTAGCATGTTAGCTCTAGGTTTGGTGACTTGGGGCTTGAATAAGTCTGGAATAATTCAGGTCTCACTATCTATTTTTGTTGAAGACTACAGTACAACCCCTACACCCCACAGCAGAGCAAGGCACGCTTGGCATGGCAGTGCCCTCACCGGGGCAGTGTTATTGGCACCGAAAGAAGTGTTTGCCCAGCTGTGCAGCAGCGGTGCCAGACACATTCGTTCACGCTGCTCACTCCCAAGGTCTGTGCCCTGAAACCGCTGTGTTTTGTGATAGACAAAGTCAGCAGCCCGAGTGGAAACAGCAAAATGTGGAGGACCTCAAAGCAGACTGAGGGGTGGATTTAATCCTGTGATAAGGGGAGTCTCTGAAGGTTTTGAAAAAAATAGGAAACTATGCAGATGGGTGAGAAAGGGGAGAAACTAAAGGACAACAGGAGACTCGAGACCACCCAGGTCCGAAGTGACCAGGGACCCGACCAGGCGGCAGCCCTGGGAAATCACCTGGGAACATGCCAGCTGCTCGTCAGCTCCTCCGTCCTAAGCCCGTCCCTAGAGATGAAGCTGGTGGCGTTAGCAGCTCGGGCAGATGCGTTTGGCTTGCTCAGGACAGTCACTTCTTTTAGTCTTGAGTTCCGTTTGCGTCTCGCTTTGATCCTGGATGTTGGGGTTGTTTTTGCCTAGACATGTTTCTACATTATCCCTGTTGACAGGGTTTCTCCTGCGAAATGTTTGAAGTCTAAATGGGTCTCGTTTCAAGAAAACCTTATGCATAAAACCTGGCCCAGATCCCTGCAATAATTGTCAGGTATGCAGCTAAGCAACCCGTCAGCCACTCAGCACAGCAGAGATGTTGGCCTGTGGAACATCTGTGCCCTTGGGGGCTTTGGGAGCCCTGCCACTGGAAGGTTGGTCCACCAGTAGGTCAGGAGATGACAGCGCCTCTCCCCCTCACTCCTTCCCTGTGTCAAACCTCCCTTTCAGAAAGATGCTCTCAGACGCAGCCCAGGCAGATGGGAAGGTACCCCAGGCTGATCTTTTTTAAAAGGTGAAAGGGTTACACAAGCGAAGGGAAGTCACGATGAATTCCCTCCAAGTACCACTGTGCACTTTCCCGTCAGCTGGTTGCCCTCAGGGTTCCTCACTGAGGGCTCCCGGCACAGAGCCCCGCGTGCATTGCTGTGACCTTGTGTCCAGCTCTGAGGCTTGTGTTCTGGGCTAAGCAGGATGTGCTGACGCCTGGCGCTCTGACCCTGCACTTCTCGCTGTTGGCCGACAGTCACAATTCCAGTAGAACGAGCGGGACCCTGCTGCCCGTTGTGTAGGGTCCCCTGTCAGGTTCTTAAACACCCTATCGTTTACCCACCTGCCAGGCCGAGCCGTTCAGACGGGAGGAGGAAGTTGCAGACACACCAGGGGTGTTGTCTTTGTATCCACTGATGAGAATTCACAGTTGAAGTCTCATTTCTTTCGTGTCCAGCTTCCGAGAAGGACTGCAGTCTTAATTTGCGCATTACGTACACTCCTGAAAGGTCATGCGTAGGAATCAGCGGCTTCTATTAAAATTTCAAAGATGTTTTCCTACTATTAAAAAATACATATTCACCAATGCGCCCTGGAAGTGCCCTTTGCCGTTCTGATTTTAATTTCAAAGGACCGTCCAGCTTTCATTGATTTCAGCCTGCTGGCATTTAATTCTCTCATAAAACAGCTGTAAGCAGTTAGTCAGATGGACAGTCAGCCCCCTGCTCTGGGATGCTCATCAGTTAAAACCCACCTCGCAAGCTTCCACCCCACAGGGAGTTCTTCCTCCCCTTTCCTGAAATATTATGTACTTTGAGAGAAGCATGCACCCCTGTATATGAATTCATTTAACAAAAATCTTAAATCCTTTTTTTGGGGGGAGGAAGGCTGGGTAAAAATTAATCATACATTTATTTAATAAAAAAAAAAGTATTGAAATCCTTAGTGCTGTGTTTAGGTATTTGGCGTTAATGGTGAATAAGACTCAATTCCTGTCACTAAGGAGTATCAGGGACCTTATTGTTTTGGTATTTTAATGACATAATGTGGAGGACACTCAGGTACCCATGTTTCAGACTGTATCTTTCCCTTACATCCCCCCCACCCCAGTTAATGAGTATATCGGTAACCTCTGCCTCAAACTTCTGTAATCTAGAAATGGTTATGTGTTGATGTTTCCATTTCTAAATCACGTTCCCAATAATTTTCTACCCCATTTTCCATTATTGCTTTTGAAACAGATGTACCAGATGAATTCTGCAGTTTTGAATTTGGAAGTGAGGTTTTGAATATAAATTTTTCTTTTTCTTTTTTTAAATAATTTTTATTTCTTGAAGTATTACAAAGAGTATTACATATGTCTCCTTCCCCCCCCCTTGACATTCCCCCAACCCCTACCCCCTAGTGTCTTGTGTCCATTGGTTATTCTTATATGCATGCATATAAGTCGTTCGGTTGATCTCTTAACCACCGCCCCCCAAACCCTCCCCAGGCTTCCCACTGTAGTTTGACAGTCTGTTCAATGCGGCTCTGCCTCTGCATCTACCCCTGTTCATCAGTCTATACTGGTCCCCATTATCTGCCCCAACCTCACTGGAGCCGTCCCAACCTCACTGGGGCCGTTTTGTCCTCACCAGGGCCATCTTTACCTCATTGGGGCCGTCCCGACCTCACTGGGGCCGTCCCTACCTCCTCGGGGCTATCCCTACCTCACTGGGGCCGTTCCCACCTCACTGGGGCCGTCCCAACCTCACCAGGGTCGTTTCGGCGAATATAAATTTTTCTATAGATGACTACAGTGGCTGTGGCGTTTCACTGGCCACCCAGCCAGACTCTCCCTGTGTGAGAGTCTCACATGTCTTAGGTAACACAGCAGCTCTAGGTGTCCGTTTTATAACGAAGGTGTTATTGCCCCTTTAAATCAAGTTGGCTTCTATGCCTTGTCATCAGCCAGTGTTTACTGACACTAACTGACCCATCGATAACAGAAATGTTCTAAGACCTTATATCTGGCCTGTTTTCTGTGTTGACAGAGCCTTCAAGGCTTTATCTGAATGACTTTTGTGAGTTTAAATCATACAACACTGTCCTAAGTAACACTTTGCCGAAGTCCACCCTCTCCCGACCCCAGTGCTCAGGGGCGGCCTCTCAGCCCTGAACACACCGCCCCATCCTCGCCTGACAGATTTTCATGGTTTCATGTCTTTGGACAAACTACACACCATGGTCACCACGTGTGCACAGGAAGCATTGCTTTGTGAGACGTCCCTGTTCTGCTGAACCAAAGCGACGTTTGCCCCAGTCCCAAACCTGGAGAAACACTGAGAAGAGGGAGTGTCTTAGGAATAGTTCTAAGAAATTACATGCTGGTCTTTTGCCCTCAGGTGCAATGTCAGCCTCTAAGGCAGCGGTTCTCAACCTGTGGGTCGCGACCCCTTGGGCGGTCGAACGACCCTTTCACAGGGGTCGCCTAAGACCATCCTGCATATCAGATATTTACATTACGATTCATCACAGTAGCAACATGACAGTGATGAAGTAGCAACGACAATAATTTTATGGTTGGGTCACAACATTGCCCCATCCCTCCCTCACCATCTCAATTTCCATTTCAACACTTAATGCCCGTAAAACTCTACATTTTAAAATTGTTTTCTAACTCTCCTAGAGCTACTTGCCTTACCCGCCCGCCCCGGGAAGCCTGGCTAGGAAGGGAGAGGGTTTCCTACCTGCAAAACTGGAACCCCTCCTAATGAGAGCCACGACTGCCAGACGCAAAAGCTTCAAGACCCAGCCTCTCAGGCCGACTAGGCTCCTGCTCGGGGCCGCTCTGCCCGGCTCCTGTGAGTGTAGGTTTGGCCGGCATCTCGCACCGGCTTTGATTATGAGAACATCTTCCTGGGCTGAGTTGGACATTTTTTGGTGCCCGTTTAATTTCTAGTCCACGTTTTTCCCTTGCAGGAATAAAATTATTTTCTCCAAATTTGTACTTACTCTCCCTTTTGTAATTTCTTGGCTTTACTGAAGCCCTCCTTGCCATTGCACCCAGATCTGCACACTGAGAAGCCCTCATCCTTCCCTAAGACTTCCTCCGTATGTTCAGTCAAGTCTGCTTGGCCCGACCGGCATGGCTCAGTGGTTGAGTGACAACCTGTGAACCAGGAGATCATGGTTCAATCCCTGGTCAGAGCACATGCCCGGTTGTGGGCTCAGTCCCCAGTAGGGGGCATGCAAGAGGCAGCCAATCAATGACTCTCTCTCATCATTGATGTTTTATATCTCTCTTCCTTCTTCTCTAAAATCAATAAAAATGTATATATTTTTAAAAAGACTGCCTGGATGGATCCAATTTAAATAGAACCAATGCAACAGCTTGTAGATGTGTCTACCTGGGCCAAAGAGCAGAGGCCCCCTGACCACAGTTACCCACCATGAGGCACAGAAAGGAAGCGAAGACATCCATTAAAGGACAGCGTCCCTGAGGAACAGTGGGCTGAGGAGAGAGGAAGGTGGAAGTGCGTATCTCTCTTCCCTGTGCGTCTTCCTATAGCGCCTGCTGGTGCATTCTGATAGGGTAGTTAGCAGGTGCCTGCTCTGCGCGCCATCACTGCGAGGCTGTAAAAGACAGACCATCTCGTGACTCCAGAGCCTTATGCGTAAGAAGTACTAAGTGAATCCTCATTGAGCTAATGAAACAGTGAGGTCTCAGGGCCCTAAAGCAGTTCCCAGTGTCCTACGGGGATGGGGGTGCACGTGCATCTTTGAAAAAACCCCAAAGCAGCCCAAAAGCACGTGGAGGGGAGGGGACTACGTTGGAGATGAATCCATGGATATGTGGATCGCTAGCTAAGGAAGTTCTTAGAGCCGTGGTTCTCAAACTAGCCATCATCGAATCAGTGTGCTCATTAAATGCATTGTCGTGCCCCACACCCAAGACTTTTGATCCAGTTTGTCTGGGGTGGGGTCCAGAATCTGCGTCTCTGACAGGTTTTCAGGTGCTGCTGCTGCTCCTGGTCTGTATCCCACACTTTGAGGACCGCCACCGGGATAACTGTGCCTCAACACCTATGAATACTCTGAAGGGTGAAATAGATGATTGGGCTTTCGAGTCATGGTTGAGCTGCTGCTTTCGGCTTACCCTAAACAGTTAAATGTTGGGCAAGTCAAGCGCCCTGAGTCTTTTTGATGCGTACAATGAAGACTTGGACTAGATGGTTTCTGAGGTTCTTTCTTTGCGACTCTAGAAGTTCCCGTTTAACGAGCCGGGTGGGGCAGAGGCCAGCCCTTGGCTCTGTCAGCTGATGATGTGCTGTGGTGGTCAGGGCTCTGATCTCCGAGCCCATGGGCCTGGCCTGATGGGCCCTGTCCTGTCATTTCTTCCAAATGTTTGTGGTGATGGGCATTAATCTCTCTCCTTTTCCTCTACCTTTTTTGTTGTTTTCACCGCCTCTAGGAGGAAGAGCAAAAGCAGGCAGTAAGTGAACTTCAGAACGCTCCGTGTGGTTCGTGCTCCTTTTGCATGTTCTCCTCCACCTCATGTAACTGGCCTAGACGTCCCCTCTCCTCCCTGCACAAGGTCTTACGATGTGTAGAACCGTCGCGTTCTCTCCTCGGTGTTGTACAGTGGCCTGAAAGTTCCCATCGCGTTTTCCCAGTCGAGCATGTTCTTGTTTGAAGCGAGAGCCCGTTGCACAGTTTTTCAGAGTACACGCCTGCGTGTTTGAGAATGCATGACCGTCCAGGCCACAGTTGCATTTTCCTGCTCTTGCTTTCTCTGCTGCTTCCTGTCTGGAGTGACTTTAATTGCTTGACACAACTGGTGGAGTGGTGGGGGTGACCTCAGGTCCAAGCACTGTGGGCATGGAAATGAGTTCTGGTGATAACTTCAGATGTGCTTTAGTCTCGCACAGGCTTCTGGGCGCTGCCGCTGCAGTCGCCTCTTAACCAAGCCACCCATGACAACGAAGGGGCTGATGACGCTGTGAGTTCCTGTTCACAGCCCACTCCAGAGGGAGCTCTGGTTTCTCGGCTGGCGGCCGGGCATGGTGTTCCGGGGAGGTTTATGTCTGTTTTTATTTATCCTGATAGCCACGAACCCACACAAGAAAATCAATTGAGAGCCTGTTCGCAATAGTAGCGCCATATGTTTATGTAACATAGTAAGGTTTTCAAAGCATCTATCTTTTACATAAGCTAAAGCTGATTTTTAATTTACCTCGGGGCTTTTTTTAAAAGAGAATTGTGAAAAGTTTAATTCAGAAATTTTAATTATTTCTTTTTTCAAAAAACAAATCTATCCATGTTTCAGATTAAGAATGGGAATATAAAACATCATGATTTGTATTTTTTATAGTTAGGAGAGCAGCGGACATACAGAATAAAGAGGAGAGGAAAGGAAGGAAAAGATAAGAAAGGAGTGACAGAGAGACAGACTGTCAGAAAGAGAGCAGAACAGGAAAGAACCCAGAAATCTCAGTGGCTTTAATGTGAAGTTGTCGTGGGTTTGTTTTTCTTCATTGACACCGTTTCTTGCTGATCTATGGCTCTTCCATGTAAATAGATACATTGGCATGGGCAAGGCAGGAGAAGACCAGGAAGGTATGCCAAGTGCAGCCGTTTAAGGCATCTCCTGGAAGTGCCACACATCATTTCCGCTCCATTTCACTGGCCAAAGCAAGTCACATGACCTCCAGTTTGCTTGGCAGAAGCAGAGAAGCGGGACTATCCTTCCTGCTCCCTCTCCACTCCCTCCCTGACAGTCTCATCCCCTTGCTGTCTATCGACTGTACGCTTCCTGCTGATACGGGGCATCACCTCACCTGTGGTTGCTGACCACCAGTGTTCCCCTCCTTCTCTTCACCGGTCTACACCTCAGAGATACACTTTACAGTTAAAACCACTTGCTGGGAATGTTCCAGCAATTCACCCAGACTAACTCTTTCTAAATGTGCCAGCTCAGAGTGCAGCACATTCTTGGGAGCACCCTACACCTTCCTGATAACTCTCTCTCAGAAGGGCAGGCATTATGGGTATTTATTTTAATGGTAGCAGTAGTACCTCCAATAGACATTTCATTTTAAAAAATTGTATGGATTACCGTGTAATCGAAGAACCAGAAATCAATACTACTGTTGTATTATTTCTAAGGCCAATTTAAAGCTGACCTTGGGCAGAGAAGGGATTAAATCACATGTTCATTTCAGTGACCTTGGATTCTCTGTAAGAACATTATCCCCTTGAAGTTGGCACAATGAGAAGCTAGACCCAGACTGCTGAAGCCTCCCACTCACAGGCCTCTTGTGCGTACATCTTGGGAGTTCTCCATGGCCAAGGTCCTGAGTTCGAGAGCTAGTCCTCACGGTCTTAAAGGACTGGCATGTCCTTTTGTGACTTTGAAACCCTCTAGTCCTCACTTCATTGTCTGCACTTTCTTCCAGCAACCAATCATCTGCCTTCCACTTTTCCAGATAAACGAATGCACCCTATGAAAAGGGCACTGGCTGCTTCCATGAAGCCCACTCCTGTGGCTTGTCTCTGGGAGCCTTGGCCACGCATCCCACAGGAGGACAGGAATGCCCGGTGCTGTCTTTCTGATAGACCTCAACCTACCATCCTGTCTTGACATGGGATTGGACCTCTGACCCTACACTTTGAGGGTGTCTGTAGGCATTGCCTCAAATCCTGGTGCTGTACCAATGTCTGGGGTTTCATAGCGGACCTCAGGCTGGTTCTGATGTCCCGTATTAGCAACAAGGCTAAGGTAGGGACCTAGCGTCCTTAACTGAAATGAACATCTGCTTACTTCCAGCTGAAGGAAGCATGTGATGGAAGGGTACGATAGATTATTTTACACTCGTCTCCATTTGCTGCTAATCATAATTTGGCAAGTGGAATGAATTACTCTCATCTGGAGCTGTAGTATAGATGTCCCAGCACTTAAAAAAAGAAAGCGAGATGGAGGGAGGGAGGGGCATGTTTTCTAAAATTAGAGGCAATGCAGAGAGAGTTTACTGCAGCTAAAGTGGTACCTTTAATAAGAATCCATACCAGCTCACCACTGCTCTACAAAGCTGGCTAACCACAAATCCTTCGGTGCTTTTATTACTATATATTCTTTTTAACTTCAGAATCTATAACATCCACTAGTTAAACATTGCTTTCAGGATTCATATTTCCACTCCTACATGTAACCAGCTCAGCCCTCAGGAAACCAAGAGAGGATCTAGGGGCCTCTCGGGCCTGTAGCTGCCCCCCGGGCCGTCTCCCAAATGTGCAGAAGAGACCAGTTGATTGTTGGGCCCCGTGAGAGTTCTAACCTGTCTGAGGTGACTGGTGGCCTGCCCTTCCTTGCAGAGCAGCTCACCACCTGGGAAAAGTAGCCCTGGACAGGCCACCTCTGTAGGACCTCATGACCCTGAGTCACCCTCAGGCAGGTTCCTTATCCTCAGCACTATGGACGTGTGGAGCCGGAGGACGTGTGGGGGACGGGGGCTGTTTTCTGCATTGTTGGATATTTAGAAGCATCCTTGACTTCTACCTCCTAAATTCTAGTGCTGGCCACCCCTACCCCCAGGTCCCTAGCAGCTAAGATGACCAATTAAGAAGCACTGCCCTGAGCCCAGAGAACCTTTCCTGGTGACACCACGGTGAGCCCCCAGGCATTCCCAGAATCCCTTGTTCTGAGGTGGGATGGATGACAGAAGATTCCCAGGCACCTTCCCGCACAGGCCGCTCCTCTGCACGTCTCCTGCTGTGTGGGTGTCACTGCCGGCTCTCCCTACGTGCGCGCGCTCTCCCAGGCTCTGCTCTTCCTACACAGTCGTCCAGTCCAGTCAGTGTTTTCTCCAAATGCTGGCTTATATCTCTTCTTTCAGTTCCCATCACCATTCTTCGTTCCAGCCTTCATCATCTGTCACCCGGTCCATGGGGAAAGCCTCCCAATAAGCCTCTTTGTCTCCTATCTCTTGCCTCCCAGCCCCTCCTTCACATTGTGCCAGATTCCTGAAGGCAGATCACGCTGCCCACATCATTCCCTCTGCCGCTGCCTAGAGCAGGTCAGCAAACTTTCGCTTGAAGGACTAGATCGTACATATTTTAGGCTTTGTAAGCCAAACCAGAGATATTATATAAGTACTTATATAACCATTTAAAGCCATTTCCAAATGTAAAGCCAGTCCGGCTGGTATGGCTCAGTTGGTTGAGCGTCTACCCAGAAGGTCACCGGTTCAATTCCTGGTCAGGGCACATGTCCATGTTGCGGGCTTGATCCCCAGTAGGGGGCATGTAGGAGGCAGCCAATCCATGTTTCTCTCTCATTGATATTTCTATCTCTCTCTCCTTCTCCCTTCCTCTCTCTGAAATCAATAAAAAAAATCTTTTAAAAAAGTAAAGGCATTGTTTCTTATGAACTACAAAGAAACAGGTGGTGAGCTGGATTTGGCCACGGGCCGTAGTTTGCCCACTCTGTGGCCCAGTAAGTAAACTTGATGGCCATGCATTACGGCCCTGCATGATTGTGGCCCGCACTTCTCTTTCCCGCCGCATAGCTTCGTGCTCCCCACACCACTCCTCATCCCCCATGCACAGCCTCCTCTCCGCCCAGGCACCTGTGTTCATGCTCTTGCCTCACCTGGATCGCCTTCCTGAGCCTTTTCTGCCTGTTGAAATTATACCCCTCAAGATGCGCTCAGATGCCACCTCTCATGTTCCAGGAGGTCAGGGTTAAACCCTCTCGTGTCTGTGCTGCTTTCTCTCTACCTCCGGGTGGGCACGGGTTTCCTCCTTCTCTGTATGCTGCTTGCATGCCCAACTGCCTCCAGAGCTCGTGAGCCTGCCGAGCGGAGACGTTGCCCCTTCATAGCCCCAGCACCTTGCAAAACAGAATAATGGCAGGTAGCACTCCGTGAGCTGGTGGGTGAAGCATTGGATGTTCTTCCTCACCAACATGTTAAAAGATTAATATCTCTCCATTTTACATATGAAGAATCGGAGGTGCCAGAGAGGTTAAGTTGCCCAAGATCACACAGCTAGTAAATGGCAGAGTTGGAATCCAAATCAGATAATTAACTGCAGAGCCTGGGCTCTGCCATGATATTATGTATAGCCAGGGACTCAGCAAAGAGTGGTAGTGTTGGAAAAGGATGCCATACCACACCATACAGGTTTGGCCTACCCATACGTGGCATTTAAATCTGTCTCATTGAGCCCTAGCTGGTTTGGCTCAGTGGATAGAGCGTTGGCCTGTGGACCAAAGGGTCCCAGGTTCGATTCCGATCAAGGGCATATGCCTTGATTGCAGGCACCTCCCCAGCACAGGCCCTGGTCAGGATGCATGCAGGAGGCAACCAATTGATGTGTTTCTCTCACATCAGTGTTTTTCTCTGTCTTTCCCTCTCTCTTCCACTCTCTCTAAAAGATGAATGGAAAGATATCCTCGAGTGAGGATTAAATAAATAAATAACCTTGACTCATTGA